ATGGATGGATGAATTTGAGTTACAAAATATGATTAGACTGCTTGACAGACTAGTTACTGTGAAATGCAAAAGAATGCAAAAAGGTGCACTACAGGGCCGGATGTTTACACCGTAAAGACATGTTGTTAATGTTGTATGTTGAATTATTTTTATAAAGATTAATACCTCTACACTTTTATCTTTACCCATAGTAGTTGTATAGTGGCCTAAGCTATAAACATTCAAGAAAAAGTGATTTGAGTTTTGAGGGTCCTGTGCCCCAGTAGAGCTTTGTTTGCGACGCCCCTGCTCCAAAGAAAGAGATGAAAAAAACAAAGACTGAGGCTGAGAGGTGGAGAAACAGAGATGGAGCTAAAGAGAGGTGGATATAAAAGGAGAGAGAGAGAGAGAGAGAGAGAGAGAGAAAGTAAAAACCCAGGCAGCAGAGTGAGGCAGCCTTGTTCTGAAGGATGGGAGATGAAGCACTGCCGTTGTCCTCCGCTCTAATAACAGATGGAGCAGCCTTCGGCCTGAGCGGCAGCACCCGGCAGGATGTCAGCCCCCCTCGCCCTCTGCTGCCTTCTGCTCTCTGCTCACTGCCTCAGCCTAACAGCCGGTAAGCAGCTCCTCCAGGAGGCTTCAGCACCGTCTGGATGAGGTGCAGTAGTCACAGGTAGCGTGTGTTTGGAGGGAACGAGCTGCTGCTGTTTTTATGGTTCGTTTGTTTGACATTGTGGATATTATTTCAGTAGTTGTTATAATATACACCCTGATGCCTGCCAGTGCAATAAGCATATTTTAACTTAATCACATTTGAGTTTTAACCCGTCTTTTCCTCTCGACTCTTGTCCAGTGTTTTAAATAAGTTTTCTGTTTGAAACAGGTTTGGTAAATTTATCTCATTTTAGGAAACAAATGGGTTTTAGAAGGATTATTTGGAGTGTGGTTTGTGTATTGACCTGAGCTTTGTAGTGAAGCTGTAGTTCTTGTCTGTAGGGTGATGAACGTTTATTACACTTGACTGAGAGCAACTCAGTACTCGGATATGGTGTACATGTGTATTTGTATGGTTGTATACATTATGAGGTCCAGACCAAGTTTATACTGTGGCTTCAGTGTTTGTGTTGGGCCGAGGGGAGGCATTATGTCAATGAGCGTCCTACACAAATGTGTGTCAATCGATCACACCAGTAAAAACCAGACATCTAAATTTACCCACGAGAAAGCACTTTGACTAAAAATGAAA